AGGCTAAGGAGAGAGGACTGGCTAGAACAGAACCTTCCCTCACAGCCTTCAGAGAAAACCAACTCTGCTGACACCTTGTTTCGGACTTCAATCTCCAGAACAGTGAGAGAACACTTTGTTGTTTTAAGCTGCCCAGTTTGTGGTACCTTGTTATGGCAGCCCTATGACATTATACTATTCTGCCATGGTTCACATAATGTGTCTCCACTCTCGATTGATAAAACGATCCCCAGTTCCTTTTTTATTGATTTTATTTTTTTTAATCCTCACCTGAGGATATTTTTATATTTATCTTCAGACAGAGTGGGAGGGAGGGAGAGAGAGAGAGAGAAACACTGATGTGAGAGAGACACACATCAGTTGGTTGCCACCTGTACAACCCCAACCAGGGCCAGAATGAACCACAACCAAGGTACATGCCCTTGGCTGGAATCAAACCCAGGACTCTTCGGTCCACAGGCCAATGTTCTCACCACAGAGCCAAACTGGCCAGGGCTTGATTTTTTTTTTTTTTTTAGAGAGAGGGAAAGAGAGAAACATAGATGTGCCGTTTCTTTTCTAAAAATCACCTTTGAGCCCTGGCTGGTTTGGCTCAGTGGTTGGAGTGTGGGGCCTGCAGACCGAGGGGGTCACAGGTTCAATTTCTGGTCAAGGACATGTACCTGGGTTGAAGGTTTGATCTCTGCCCGAGGGGAGGTTGTGTGGAAGGCAACCAATCGGTGTGTCTCTCACACATCGATGTTTCTCTTGGTCTCTCCTTCTTTCCCTTCCACTCTGTCTAGAAAGCAATGAAAAAGTATCCTTGGGTGAGGATTTAAAAAAAATCACCTTTGACTGTAACATTGTACCCATGCTTGATTTTCACATTTGATTGGCAATCCTTTGCCCAGTTTTTTATTAAGATGCCACTGGCCCTTGCTTTAAGCCCAGGTGTTTTAGTGCAATATGGTGACTGCTGATTGCATATGAGAGCTCTGGAATCAAAATGGGGGCTGCCACTTAGTTGCTACATGGCCTTGGATGAGTATGGTAATGTTTCTGTGCCTCAGTTTTTCCCTTTTAAAGGTAAGGATAGTAATTATAAAACTGTTGTGAGAATTGAATAAAATAAAACATTTAACATGCTTAGAACAGTGCCTGGTCCACAGCAAGTAGTTCATAAATACATGAGGTGTTGTGAATCCCATCAACTTCCCTGTAATGGAGGTATTATAAGATCATTTTAGATGAGGGAGGTTCAGAGAAGTTAAATCAGGAAGCTAGTGTGACAGAATTGTTACAGGTTGTGTTGCCAGGAGGCAAGCTTTGAGATTGAGATCCAGGTGTAGGAAGTATATTAGGGGTGCTGATCAACAGGTGAGGAAGAGTGGGGGTGAAGGAAGCTGGATTAGGTTGAGCAGAAGGGAAAGTTGAACTGTGATGCGATCACAACAAGTTTCCCCATCCAATGGGAGCAGGGTAGAACCCAATTTCCCCTTCCCTTGAGTGTGGGCTGGATTTAGTGACTCCCTTCCAATGAACAGAAGTGAATGTGAGAAGTCAGAGCCTGGGCCACATAAGGCACTGCAGCTCCCTTCTTGCCCTCCCTCTGCAATGCCCTGGTCTGGAGACGTCAGCTGCCATGCTGTGAGGACGCTAGAGCAAACTGTGGAGAGTTCAACATGGTGAGGAACTGAGACCTCCAACCAACAGCCATCTTGGAATTGGACCCTACAGCCCGAGCCAAGCCTTCACATGCCTGTGGCCCTAACATCTTGACTGTAACCAGCTAAGACCAAGAGCCAGAACCCCAGTGAAGCCATAACTAATTTCCTGACCCACAGACACCATAAAATAATGTTTCTGGTTTTCCACTACCAATTGTTAGGGTAATTTGTTATGCACAACAGATACTGATACAGGGAGCTTTGGAGATGGAACTGTCCTTCATGAGTTGTCCCAAGCTGGGGTGAGGCGAAGCGGTCTTCAAGTTGACTACTCATTAGATGTGGCCTACTCCTCTAGAAGGGACCATGACTTTGAGCAAAGCAATCTTCAGCTGAGGGCAAGTTTTTGAAGAATGACTTAGCTGAAAACTGTTGGGACCACACTCTGACCAGCTCAGGAACATGTTCTTCAGTCCTGAAATAAAGGTCTGGGGAGAGTACCACAGTACCCACCAGAAGATATGTAGTGGGACCTCTTCTGTTGTCCCAGAATGAGCACTAGGCTCACAGCTGATAACAGGCATAGTGCCCCATCTTCTAATGAAAGGTGCCTACAACTGACACTTTCCCCATGGCTTAGTAAGAAGATGCAGATCTAGCCTTGTCTTCACTAAATATTTCCCCAATACTTTCCTTTTCATCTTATACAAGGATGCAGGGAAAGGAGTGAAAGGAGGCAGTTGGCCTTGTGGAGAGTAGTGTTTCTGAGAAGTGATGAAGAGAAGGGGAGGCTGTAAAATAATCTCTCCTAGCCCTGGGCGGTTTGCTCAGTGGTTAGAGCATCGGCCCGCAGACCAGAGAGGCCCAGGTTCAGTTCCCACTAAGGGCATGTACCTCAGTTGCAGTTTGTCCCTGGCCCCGGTTGGGGTCGTGTGGGTGGCAACCACTTGATGCCTCTCTCTCATGTCGATGTTTCTCTCTCTTCCTCCCCCTCTCTCTGAAGATAAATGCAAAAATGACCTCAGGTGAGGATAAAAAAAATCTTGCTATTAGTGGGACCCACTGGAAGGAAAGGCTGGTGTTCCATTCCCTCCTTGTGAATCTGTCTAGTCAGCATTCTTGCTGATTTATTCGTCTGTATTTCAGGAGGGAGCAAAAAGATTAAAGACAGATGGCAGGGTGAAGAGGAGAAACCATGGGGCATCCTCCAGTCTAGCCCTTTTGTGTGGCAAGGATGTGTATTTCTCATGAGTCAGGTGGACTCTGTGGAAGATGAATGTTCTTGCTGGACCCTCACCCAAGAGACTGGGTATAGTACTGCCGAGTGCTGGCAGTGGGGTGATGGAAAAGATCAAGCTGGGTATGGATCGTCCCTCAAAATATTTGGAGAGAAGGACCACCAGGCCTTCTTATATGTGCCCCATGAAAGCAGTTTCAAACAAGAGCCAATTATCTGAAGAAGCAGGTATCAGCTAAGAAAGAACTCCAACACTGGCCAGTCAAGAGTTACTTGCCTCAACACAGAAGCCAGGCCCTGAAGAAAACACGGAAGTGTCTGAGAGCCAGAACCATGACTCGCACCTTCTTACCCTAAAATTCTCAGGTCCCACTCAAGCCATGAGACTGACACTTTGACATGTTGATTTTTAGTAAATGAAATTAACCATAAAGTTCCAATATCACCAAAGGTATAGTTAAGGGATGGAAAACAGCAGTGATTGGAGAAAAATGGACTGTTTTATGTTTGGAAGCCATCACACTGAGATGGCTCAACAAACTGATTACACTGATAATTGCTGGAACTAAAGCTCTTTGCACTGCACTGGCATTCCATAAAAATTATGTATAACCTACAAAGATGGGTAAAATGTGGCACACCCGTCCTTGAGGAACAAGAAATGATCTGTTGTAAAGTAAGTGTGAAGCAGGTTTGCTGAAGCAATCGGCTAGAATGTTGATCCTTGTGTTTCTTTTCCTGTTTCCCTGCATTGTCCACTGAGATGGATATTTTACCGGTTGGACGGTGAGTCTGGTGGAGACTGATCCACTTCTTGGATTGCAAATACACTAGCCTGTGATTATTAAATCCCTAATGAATTGTTTTAGAAATGCTGAGTTGGAGTTGCCAGGAAGATAGCCAAGACAGCGACGGAAGCCCTAAGGGCAGAGAGGAGCTGAAAACTAAGAAATGAATATCGGGAAATACTACATGTAATAACCTTCAAAAACAATTGCACCATCACTGCTCTCTTATAAAATACCTTGCATTCATGATGTTAATTCATGAAATCGTTTTACAGAAAATTTCTGATGTAATCCCAAAAATAATAGTTTAGAAAACACATCGGCATCAAGGAATTTAAAGAAATCGAAAACACGTCTTAATTTTACCTCTGCTTATTGGAGATGTCCTTGCATAAAACATTTACAAGGCATTTTATTCCCATAAACGTAGTATGTTGCCTAACACTGTACTGCTGCCCTGCCTGGGGGCAATTCTTCCCCCTAACACAGTAGATGACTGGCGTCTATCTCGGTCAACTGTCGCTGGAAATAAGAAAGACTAGCCAGGTCCGCTCAGCTCTGCTTTTCACTTCCACGCAGTCCGGGGCCCAGGGCCGGCGAGCCGCGCCTGCCCGCATTCTGCGCACGAATATGAATATTCAACACCCCGTTCCGGGGCGCGCGCCGGCGAAGTACCCACAAGCCCCCGCGCCCGGTGACCCGGGGCCGCGGCTCGCAGTGGGAGGAGGGCACCCGCGCTCCCCGAGACCTTGGCCCCGGGCCCGGGCGCGGGGCAGCTGACCACCCGCAAACCAGCGCTTCGCAGGCCTTGAGTGCGGGGCCGCGGGCCGGACACAGGGACGCTGGTCCGCAGAACCACCGGGAGAAAGCGGGGGAGGGCTGGACAGGACGAGAGGAAGGAGACGGGGAGGGAACGCATTCCCAGTTAACGCCGCCTTAAAGCCAACTCACTAGCGCAGCGCCTCTGCGCCGCACAGCATTATGGGAGCCTCAGCTTCCCTGCGCGGGTTGTACCCGCGACGCATCTCCGGCACCGCCCCCGACGCGGCGCACGCCGGGAGAGCCGACTTGCCCCCTCCCTGTAGCAAACGGGTGAGAAGGAGGGGATTTCCGGCGTTATGACTGTTTTTAAGGAAGGGGTGGGGCTAGTCTGGTTCAGCCCCTCACGCGCGGCGGGGGCGTGACGAAGGGTGATAGCCCCTCAGCCCGCCCCTGCACCGGAAGGAGGAAGGCGGAGAAATCTATCCGGCGGAGGGCGTGAGGTCACGTGATGTAACTGTCGGCGGAGAGAAGAAAGGGGTGGGGCCCGTGCGGGAGGGGCGGGTCATCGCGCCTTCTCAGGTCACGTGAGGCGGGAAGAGGCTCCTGCGGCGTTTTCGAGATGGGGACTTCCCTGGACATTAAAATTAAAAGAGCGAACAAGGTTTATCATGCTGGGGTAAGTGGGCTGGGCGGGCCTGCTGATTTTGTCATTTCCAGGATTCCACGCGCATCTGAGTGTCCCTGGGCGGGGCAGGGGCGCGCGGCCAGGTGCGTCCCCGTCAGGTGAGCCCCGCGCGTGACTGGATGCCCTAGGCCCCCGAAGGAGTTGCCGACGGGTCCAGGGGGCGTGCGTGACCCAGGGCCCGGCGCCGGGGCTGCGGTGCTAGCCGCTTGGGTGCTTACATCCGGCTCCGCCTTGGGTCCCGAGCTTGAACTGTCGCAGTGAGCACGGAGCGCAGAGGAGCTCAGTGACCAGGAGACCCGTTCCCTCTCTCCCAGGGTGATTGCAGCGATGTCATGAACGAAAGGCAGAAGTCACCTTCAGTTCTAACACCATGCGAAAGTTACTCATTTCTCTGGTTTTATTCTTCGAATAACATGCAGAAGAAATGGCATATTAAAATACAAGTCCAAAACAATCTTAGCTATGCCATTATGTTTTGTGCCACAGGCCCCTTAACCCACTCGGGCCACAGTTTCCTTATTTGCAAAATGAAACTGTTGCAAGGTTCCTCTAACTCCAACTCAGGGGTATGTCAACCCTTACTCTTCATCAAAAGCAGTCGCCCTGGGGAATTTTGAAATGTGACTGTCCAGGTCCCACCCCAGCGATACCAGTCCAGTGACTCCATTGTGCAGCCAGGGTTGAAATCAAAGTTGCTCTCACACTCTGTGGAACAAATTGATAGTACTGGTTAGTCATGTGAATGGAGATAGGTCTCGGAAGATACAGAATACCACGCAGAGATCATGAATGGGTGCTAAAAGCTTTGGGTGCAAGGTTATTGGGGAAACCTGTTATTTACACAGACTCAAATAGTCACCTGAATTGCAAAGGGGAAAAGCTACCTTGATAAGGAAGAATCTGGTAGTCACCAAGACCAATAGTGAACACCACCTTACCATCACCACTAATGAGACTGACATATGTTTGGTGTAAAGATAGAGAATTCTGGCATGATGCACTGAGGACACAACTCACCTATGCAGTATTCCTGCCAAAATTATCTAACTTAAATCAGCTCATAAGAAAACAATTGGGCATATCTAAAATTAGGAATGTTTTATGAAATAATTGTTTGGGTTCTTAAAATATGTCAATGTCGCCCTGGCCAGCTTGGCTCAGCAGTTAGAGCGTCAGCCTGTGTACCAAAGAAACACAGGTTCGATTCTGGTCAAGGGCCTTGGTTGTGGTTCAGTCCGGGGCCCTGGTTGGAGACATGCAGGAGGCAACCAATGGATGTGTCTCTCACATCGATGTTTCTCTCCCTCCCTCCCTCCCTCTCTAAGTGAAAATCAATGGAATCCTTAGGTGAGGATTAAAAAAAAAAGTCCATGTCATGAAAAAAGGAATTTTTCTAGATTAAGAGACTAAAGGGATATGATAACCAAATAGAATGCATAATTTTTGATAAATACATTTGAATGTGAACTATGTATTTAATAATGGTTTTATATTGGTATTTAATTTCCTGAATGTGATGTTTATATTTTGGTAGTGTAGGAGAATACTAAAGTATATAGATGTCAAGGGCCACTATTTTTTAAATGGTCCAGCCATAAATGTGTGTACATGCATGCACACACTCCCACATGTGATGAGGAAAGAGAAAGCAAATGTGGCAAAATATTCATAATTGGAACTCCATTTGAAAGCTATATGGGTCTATTTTATATTCTTTTTAAAAATAACATCTTTATTGCCCTGGCCGGTTTGGCTCAGCGGTTAGAGCGTCGGCCTGCGGTCCTGAGAGACCCGGGTTCGGTTCCCGCTAAGGGCGCGTACCTCGGTTGCAGTTTGTCCCCGGCCCTGGTTGGTCGTGCGGGTGGCAGCCACTTGATGTGTTCCTTTCGCATCGATGTTTCTCTCTCTCTGTTCCTCTCTCTCCCTCCCACTCTACCTGAACAAAAAATGGAAAAATGTCCTCGGGTGAGGATAAAAAAATAAAAAAAATAACATCTTTATTGAAATCAAATACCATAAAATTTACTATATTAAAGTATAGAATTCAGTGGTTTTAACATATTCACAGAGTTGTACAACCACCCCAAAAAGAAACCATTAGCAGTCATTCCTCATTCCCATCCCTGTCAGCCTCTGTTAATCACAGATGTATTTTCTGTCTCTATGGATTTGCCTATTCTGGACATTTCATATAAATGGAATCCTACAATATGTGTGGCCTTTGTGTCTGGCTTCTTTCACTTAGCATAATTATTTTCAGTGTTTATATATGTTGTAGCATATATCAGTTCTTCATTCCTTTTTTTTTTTTCCTGATTAATTCTCACCCAAGGATATTATTTTTCATTAATTTTTAGAGAGAATGGAAGGGGTAACGGGAGGGGAAGAAAGAGAGAAGAGAGAGAAACATCAATGTGAGAGAGACATCGATTGGTTGCCTCCTGAACATGCCTTTACCAAGGCCAGGGATCGAACTGCGACCCAGGTACGACATGTCATTGACTGGGAATTGGACTTGCGACCCTTCTGAGCTTGGGCCAACACTCTAACTACTGGACCACACTTCCTTCCTTTTTAAAAAAATTATTTTTCTTTATTGATTTGAGAGAGAGAGGAAGGGAGAGGGGGAGAGAGATGGAAACATTGATGAGAGAAAACATCGATTGACGGCCTCCTGCATTCCCCCCACTGGGGAATCAGACCCACAACCTGGGCACGTGCCCTGACCAGGAATCTAACTGGCAACCTCTTGGTGCGTGGGTTGACGCTCAACCACTGAGCCACACTGGCCGGGTGGCTTCCTTCCTTTATATTGCTGAATACTATTCCACTGTGTGGATATACCACATTATTTATTCATTCATCTGATGATGGACATTGGGTTGTTTTCACTTTTTGGCTATTGTGAATGCTGCTGCTATGAACATTGTAGTACACAAGTTTTTGTGTGAACATACATTGTCATTTCTCTTGGATAGATACTGAGGAATGGAATTGCTGAGTGATGTGGTAACTTTAACTTTTTGAAAACCACCAAATTTTTTCAAAGTATCTGTGCAAGTTTATAGTCTACCAGCAGTGTATGCAAGTGCCAATTTCTCCTTTATTTTGTATTCTCATAACTTTTCTGTAGCTTGAAAATATCAAAATAAGAATTGGGGTCCGGCCGGTGTGGCTCAGTGGTTGAGCATCAACAAATGCACCAAGAGGTCGCCAGTTCGATTCCCGGCCAGGACACATGCCCAGGTTGTGGGCCTGATCCCCAGTGGGGGCATGCAGGAGGCGGCCAGTCGATGTTCTCTCTCATTGATGTTTCTATCTCTCTCTCCCTTTCACTTCCTCTGTCTCTAAAAAATCAATAAAGGAAAAGAAAAAAAAAAGAATTGGGGGTGGCAGTGACAGACTATATACGTTTTGCTTCAATACTTATTTAATTAACAAGTTAGCACATTCCATTCAGAGATGTTACTCCAGCTGAAATGCTGAGATGTTTTCTGTGATTTAAAATACGGTATAAGTAATAAAAGGTACATTTAGAAAAGATGCAAGAAATGGAATTGTGAAGTTGACCCAGCCAAAAATCTTTTTTTTTTTTCATCCTCACCCAAGGACATTTTTCCACTTTTTGTTCAAACAGAGTGGGAGGAAGAGAGGAAGAGAGAGAGAAACATCGACTTGAAAGGGACACATCAAGTGGCTGCCTCCCACACAACCCAACGAGGGCCGGGGACAAACTGCAACCGAGGTACGTGCCCTTAGTGGGAACCGAACCCAGGCCTCTCTGGACCACAGGCCGATGCTCTAACTGCTGTGCTAAACCGGCCAGGGCAACCCAGCCAAAAATCTTATACAACTGGGACAGCTCCTGTGGATGGCAGAGCTGAAGGTGGTGTCAGCTGTCTAGTGCACATTCTTTGGTGCCATTATCAGGACCAGAGTCTATAGTTACTGGCTTATGGCAGCATCTCAGTCTTCAGTCACTTTTACACTTAATGCATTTGACACTAATGCAGTTACATTAAATATATTTTAAAGGAGACCTTATATGGTGATTGTAAAAGAAAAACCAGTATAACTTCTAAATAGATGGTTGCTATATATATATATTTTTAAAGCCAACAACAACAACAAAAGTTAAGCTGATCAATCTGATCATTTGACAGAAATATGCCCCTGGACATATGTGCCTGTGACTCATGCATCAGACTCCATCATCTGTGATTTAGGATAGGTGGAGAGGGTAGCCAGCATTGTCATGGCTGTTTCCTAAGCTCCAGGTGGCAGGACCTGTGCTGGCTAGTCACTTGATGAGGTCTCAGTGTCTTTGGATAGTGCATGTTTCGAGTGTAGTGCAAGGCGTGGCCTCTCTTTCCCGCCCTCCCTACTCCTAGCTAGCTGCAGGTGGGACTAATAACATACAAGTTTAAATTTTCTCTGTACATTTTCAACAGCACTGGTAAAGATTCACTTACTGAAGATTTGACTTATGGTTTCCTTGAGGTGGCTACCACCTATGTTGACCTGTTCCTTAGGTCATAAATGATTGTTATTGAAGTAAATTGCGTCCATGTAACCATATAGATCAGTCTTATGTTCTCCTGAGGACCTGGCAAACACTGGTGTGGGGGATGAGCCAGGCAGCATCCCTCTCATTTTACTAATGAAACCGAGGCCTACATAGGTTGAGGAATTTGCCCAAGATCATCCAACTGATGAGAGTTTGGATGTCAGGACAGGTCTTTCAGCACTACTGTATTTCTATATTTCTTCCCTAAGAGTGGCCATTTTTATGCAAAATGGAGAACTATTTTTAAAAATATTTTTTCTTTATTGATTTCAGAGAGAGAGGGTCAACACTCAACCACTGAGCCACACCAGCCAGGCTGGAAAAGTTTTTAACATAGAAATAGTTGTTACTAATTTTCTGAGAGTGCTATAAATAGCATTGTAATATTTTAATTTAAAAAAACTGCTGACTTAGACTCAGATGA